CCCATATTTCAGATCATATTATGTCACAAGTAAGATCGGCAAAGAATAAGGTCAATCTAAAACCTAGGCATTAATTAATTTAATTTTAGTATATTGTATATTTGAATATGGGGTCCTTTAAAGTTCAAATTATACACAAATATGGTATCTTACACCCAGCAAGTAGTTTTCATGTCCAATCATAGACTACAGTGGGCTAATAATGTATAGCATCTGGAATGAAGTAAATGATTATAATAATGATGTCTTTGTCCTCTATTTTTAGTAAAAAGGTTTTTTTTTTTTTTTTTTTTTTTGGGGGGGGGGGTATCAAATACTTGTCTTACTAATAATCTGCCAGAGCATTCGAAATGCAAAATGCATAAAAAGGGATTATATGAAGTAAATGTAATAAGAGACATCATAATAAATGATGTTTAAAACATGATGCATAAAACGGATGAGAGGAATATTACATTTATCCACTTTAAGGCCCTGTTTGATTCACCTTAATTTTGCTGAACTGAAATTATTTTTAGTGAACTGAACTTATTTTTACTGAATTATTTTTACTGATTTTCTATTATAATTCTTCTTTAAGAAAACTGAATTTTACTGAACTGAACTTATTTTTACTGAACTGAAATTAATTTTACTGAAAATCCATGAACCAAAAATCAGGAATATATTCATGTACGAGAAGAAATAAACATAGAATGTCATAAGATAATCCAATCAAATTTTTACCTAAAAAGGGAGTTGAAATCCCAAGATAATGCTTGTTTTCTGACCCTTAGGTTGAGGAAGTATCACTATCAGATTCTGCATTAATTTGCAAAGTTGTTAAGGAAAGGAAATTGGTTGTATATAAACTTGAAACCATAAGCCCAAAACCATAACTTAAAAAAAATACAAATTAAAAAAAAAGTACCACTGGAAGAGGATCCAGAGTCACTGCTTGAGCTTCTTGAACTATTTGATCTGCTGGCGTTGCCAGCTTGCTTTTCATGTTGAACAGGAGGCAACAAAAGGTCATTCTTTTCTTCTGCTTCATACATTTGAAATAAAGTTGTCATATTCAAAAGTTGAAAGAATTTAATAACAAGTATAAACCTTATAAATAAGTCCAGATATCCAGAAAAAGTATACCAGCTTTATTTTCTTTTGGGTTTTCCAAGATGGATGGAGCTTCATTCTGCATGGAGAGATGAAATAAATAAAATCAGGAAAACCAGCAAGCTAGAATCTACTTTATAACTAACAAGCGAAGAGGGTTTCTTTCTCACCTTTTCTATAGTTGGTGCAGCGTCCCCTTCAACATGGGCCACTTCAGCCATTTTCTTGATTTTGGTCAGATTCTTTTTGTAGTTCATCACAAACCTGTCCAGCTCCCAAAGAGTCTCAGTGTCAACACTATCAATGTCCACCTCAATCTCATCGTCATTTTGACAGAGTGAAGGGTTCCTCTTCCTAATAATCTGGACAACATTGTCAAGCTTCTCTGAAGGTAAGTTCTGAAGGTCAGTGCTAAGCTTCTGCTTCTCCACATATGTCATGTCTCGCTTATTGGGATCTTTTGCCTTTGGCTTCTTTGGAACAGGAATCCTGCCTGTTGGCGTAAGATTAGGGTTTTTGGGTTTAGGACCAGCAGACTTTGTCATAGATTCTGATTTATCCAGTGTCCTGGTCATATCAGCTGCAGGCGGCAAGGATGGTGGAGCCTGTGGAGCCTTTCTTGACGTTGGAGTTAAAAGACTGGCTTCATAGTCCATAGAAGGTCTCAACTCCCGCATATATTCTGCCTCTACACTACTCCACTTTTCTTCAAACATTTTTGATATTATATCTGCCATTATATAGACGTCATGCCCTTTCGGATTATAAGTCATTGCATTATTAAAGGTAAGTCTAACATCTTCGGCAAATTCCTTAGGAGATTTGTACCAGTTGGTATTTAGCCTAGATTTCACAGTACCCAAGTCCATTGGATGCTTAATTATAGTGAAATAATCATGCAAACCAAGGCCCTTCACATCAACAGGAGTATTAAAGACCCATCCATGCTTGTGCTTCATTAACTTATCCAGCAATACACTACAACTCTTAAATACCTTACTCAGAGAGCTGCTCATCCCAACTCCAGATCCAGACTCCCCGTTCTTCTTCCCCATGCCTTTCGATTTCTTGTTCTGTTCTGATGGTGTGATCTTGTCCTTACCCAGTATGAAATCTGAACTCTGATAAAACTGATTCGCCTTAGGGGTCCTCTTCTCCTTCTCCACATTCTCGCTGGCACCTTGACTATGTTCCGGCACAGTAACACTCAGCTGATCAATCGGCCTACCCTCATGCCACCCCACCGAACCAACCTCAGAATGAACTCTTTTCAACTTCCCCACACCATTATTACCATCATCCACCATAGACCTCAAACCACTACCATTATGTTCGAGCTTCTTCACCAAACTCCTAACTAGATTAAGCTCACCCTCAAGTTTCCTCCTCAATTCACGCCTCTCCTTCTTCGTCTTACACATCAAACTAATCGAAACCCGATCCTCAACCCGGGAAAACCCCGTCCCACTAATTCCATTCCCCAACATATCGCGATGACCTGTGTAACCACCACCACCAGCACCACCACCTCGACCCACTCGATTATTCGACGACCAAGCAGCAAACCTGTTAAAACCAAGCTCCTTCCCAGAATTCAACTCTTGGGAAGGAAAATTTCGAGAATTTTCTTCAGCTAAGTTGGTTTTAAGCCCTTTGAAAGATTTCCTACTGTAAACTTTACTATCACCCAACTTATTCCTATCCTTAGAATTACCACCTTCACCCCCAACAATCCCAGTTGCCATAACCCCACCAAAACCCCCCTAAAAAAAACCCCAATTTCAAACCATCTTCAATCTCAGCACTCTAAAACACAGCATAAAATAAAAAACACAACATAACATGAAACCCTAAATAAACTAAATCAACATTTTCAACAAACTTAAACAGTAAAATTCACAAAAAAAAAAAAAAACGATAATCCCAAGTTTCAAAACAACAAAAGTAAGGGGTTTTAGTGAAATCATACCTCAAAATGCAACAAATCTCATAGATCTCTCTCTATCTCTATCTCTTTCTCTCTCTTGCCGTCGAGCTGAGCAGAACGGTGGAGTACAGCAAAGTTAGTTGGTGAGTTGACCATGTAAGAAGAGATGGCGCGTGAAAACAACGTACAAATTAGGGGGATAATTTCATACGCACGTGTACAGCACGTGATAGCTACTAGCCAATAATAAGTGAGAGCTTTGATGCTTGCGTTGCAATTTCACTAGCGCGTTCTTTTACTGTTGTAGTAGCGCGTTGAAAGTTGGAATGAATATTTATGCTATTGTGTTTTCTTTTTAGGAGCACTAAGACAAATGATGAGGTCGTTTCTGGTCTTAATTTGACAATTGAGCATGGATTTTGGAGTAAGTAAGGTAGATTATGGCCCCATGATTTTGGTTTTTCATGGATGTGTGTTTATGGCACATCATTTAGGGCGGTCAAAAACTAGACACGACACAATAACCCGACACAAAATAAGTGGGTTTGGGTCAACAATTTTCGATCCGTTTACATAATTTGGTCGACACAAAATTAAACGGGTTAGGTTTGGGTTGAAATTTTCAACCCAAAACCGACACGCATAACCCTATTATATTAATGGGTTGAACGACAACTCGCCAACCCGAACTCAACACGCTTAATCTATTAATTAAGTAGTAAAAAAAACTGAATTTTTAATTCAAAACATGTAATTTTGTAATTACCTTAACACCATTATACATTTTGGTAATTATAATTTTCATCTTTTATAATTTAAAATTAAATTTGGTGGTTAATTTGAGATAATTGTTATGTGTGGTTGTATTGTTAAAGGTGTGGTTGTATTGTTAAACCTACTAGCTTTAAATCCTTGTGGTATCTTTTGCTAAAATTACTAACTTTAAACTATTGTAATATCTTTGATAAATTAATGATGTTTGTCTTTTTTATTTTTGAATCAAATATTAATTAGTTTATTACATACTATGTGGGTAAAAGGTTACTCGCGTAACCTATTTAATAAGCGGGTTAGGTTTGGGTCAAGGGTCAACCCGTTTAATAAACAGGTTAGGTTTGGGTAAAGGGTTTTTAACACGTTTAACATCGACACGAACACGAACTTGACACAACACGACACGTTTGACAACCCTAACATCATTTGTATAATTTGGTTTACATTATAATTTGTAAATGATATTTAATCTCAAGTTTATAAAAATTTGTTGAGATTGAGTTCCATTTTTTGGCCACTATATATTGAGTTAATAGTTTACAAATTTTACTATGCATATTCATATACGAAGACTTACAAAACAGCTTAATGAGTAACAATGAATTTCCTTACATCAATGTCTTAATCATATATTTTTACCAATAAAAATGCTTGCACACAACCGGATTGCATTAACCTTGGGCCCTGTTTGGTTGGGTGTAAAATGTTTTCAATGGAAAATGATTTTCCATGAAAAACCTTTTTCATAAGAATATGTAATTTCCTACACATTTCCCTTGTTTGGTTACATGTAAACTGATTTTCCTTTTTAAGCATTTTCCGTTGTTTGGTTCAATAGAAAATCAACATTTTTAAAAAAAAAAAATTTATTCTTTGTCTTTCCAATATTATTTATATGGAAGATCTTATCAGTTCTTTCTCATACCGTACTACTAATACTATAATAATCTTCGAACTTTTTCTAAGCTAACTTTGAATTTGTTTTTTTTTTTAAGGGATAACTTTGAATTTATTTTTGTAAATATTTTTTGCAATTTAGAAATAAAAGGGTAAAAATTAGCATAATAAAATTATATAAGTAAGATAAAATGTTGTAGACTAGTACAAAGTGGCAGCAACAAAGCTATCAAACAAAAGAAAAAAGTGTTTGGACGACGAGATGACCTCTAGTAGATATGAAGTTTAAAATATACTCATTCTAATTTTAACGATTAAGGGAATTTATAAAGTTTCGGATCCAAACTCTTCGGAGAGGTTTGCTCTTTGTCAAAAAAGTTTTGGCAAGCATCTCTAGCTCAACTAAGTGGTCAAATACGGCATCACGAACTGCTTCTTCAAAATCATCCATCTTCATTATCTCTTCATAAAGTTTCTCCACATCAAGTTGGTTGTTTGAGAATTTTTTCAGAGCACTAACCACTTCTCCTAGTTGATTAGATATTTGTTGCAAGTCACAAGTGTCATCTTCACCTCGAGTCCTCTTACGATGTTGTCTTGGCTCTGAAGAAGTGGCACTATCTGATTTTGATGTCCCATCTTCTGCCATACTTGTAGGCTGCCCTTGTCCACTCTCATTGTTAAGTTCAATATCAGCAAAACTCTTAGAAAAGTCTCCACGAGCCATGTCTTTACCAGCCACGATTGCTATTTCTTCATACATATCAATTTTTCGGTTGAGATATTTCTCATGAGAAGGATTTTCCTGTATATAAAAGGAGAAAATATCAGTGAAATACTTGAAACAATGTAATATAAAGAAACCATGACTATGAAAGCATAATTATAAGACCATCTACTATACGTCACTACCCAACCATCTACTATACGTACTATAAACAACTTATTCTCTACAAAATTGCAGCAATTAGATATCACACTTATAATTATGAAACAGGACAGAGTATCTGACAGCTATGTAATGCACAGATCTAGTAGGTTGAATCAAGAATAATCTGCTGAAAATTACAGATGATAGCTTACTCAATAAGAATCACTGAACATAGAGGAACATAAACATATTGCAAATGCAGATTTATTAAAGTTTTCATGTAATACCAGTGGACCAGATTCCAGATATCTAGCCCTGCTCCCTTGTCATATATAGCCAAAAGTTTGAAAAAGTGATTATCTATCCAAAAAAAACCCAAATACCTAAGCATGTAAGAATACAAACAGAATAAATATCACAAACTGATTTGGAAAACTCTTCTCTGAGTTGTTTTTCTATACACACCATAATAATTTATAGCATGTAAAAAGCTAGTGAAAAGTTAAGATACCTGAACATAGTTATTGTAAGCATTAGGAGATGTTGTTACCATCTTCACAGTGTCATTCCACCCAAATCCAGAGTTACCACGAACTTTCGATATGATTGCCCAATTAGCTTTCACCATCCTCATGTGGTTCTCAACATCGTTAGCCGTGCAGGAAGTTTTAAATTTTTCTGATATATTTTTTGCAGCAGCAACAAATGAGCTTGTTCTGAAAGTGTTATTTGGCCTATTTCCCTTTCTCACTTCTTCTGCAAGAAATGCCAGCAACTCCTTGGACATTTGTTTTGACCAACGAAAATTCCCTTTTTTTTCTTCATTCTTCACCTGCAATTGTAGATACACATGCTTCTCATATGCAAACCACATGAATTATCAAGAAAATCTAATCATTTCATATACATTCACCAAAATAAAAGTTCATGTAATTAAGGAGAATATAAACATCTTTGCAATTTCTACTTCAAATCATTAGTGTAACCCATTACAATAGGAAATAAATAGAAAAACTCAGGTTGTTTGAGGCCTCTTGTATGCAGTCCACATGGCTAATGCTATGGCATTTCTTTTATTAATGCACTCATTTGTTTCTTCTCGCATTTCCCTTCGAGTAAGCAATGTTCTTGTATCATGTGAATCCATCTCCAAGTCTACCTCTCTAGTTATCTGGTCATTAGGATCCACACCCCTAAAGGAAGTTGTGTATCACACAACATGCTAAAACCACATCAACCTGGGTTTTAAATGACCAAAAAGGCTTAGCATCCAAAACACGAAACCTCGCCTTTAGAATTCCAAACGCCCTCTCTACAACCATTCTAATTGAAGAGTGTCGAAGGTTGAATAACTCCCGTTCATTTTCTGGAGGATTGTTTGTAAATTCTTTCAAGTGATAACGGGTTCTCCTGTATGGAGGCATAAGACCTTTGCGACTACCAAAACCCGCATCTGCAAGATAATACTTCCCTTCACACAAAAATAAAAATGCATATTATAATCAATTTATCTTCAGTTTGCAACTAGCCAACTACCAAAAAAGAGGCAACTACCTTCTGGAATTTTGAAACCCCTACTTAGCGCATCATTAAGGACCCTTAAATCATGTGCAGAACCCTCCCAGCAAGCTAGAACATATGTGAACTTGGCATCAAAATCAACAGCAGCTAGCACATTTTGCGTTGTTCTGCCCTTTCTACCACGAAATCTATCTTGTATCTCAATGGGAACGGAGGCACGCACATGTGTTCCATCTATAGCCCCTATGAAATCCTCAAACCATGGAAAGAACCTAGGGTTGTTTTGAATTTCTGGTTGAATTGAAGTTGTTGGTGGTTTCACTACCTCTGGATACAATCGAAGGATAGCTTGAAGTACAATATGAAAATAGTAGTGTACGGTCCATGTTGACCGAAAAAATCTTCCCCCAATCACACGAAACCTTACATTATGCCCCAATAAGTGTAAAAATATAATTACTTGCTCCTTAACACTCATCCGAACACTTTCCCGCAAAAGTCCTCTTTCAACTAGAATATTACATAGGCTATAAAATGGAGCAGGCCTCATACGAATTTGTCCTAGACAATGAGTGTCACCACAATGTAAAATACTATTGATATTTGCCTCCCTCAAACTATCTCTATTCACATAAGGTTGCCTAATTATTCTAGGCCTTTTATTCCTTAACCTATACTCTTCAACAAGAGAAAGAACAGAAGCAATTATAGCTGCCACAGAACCAAGAATCATGCCTTTCATTTCATGGGTCATCTACAATAACACATACAACAAATTATATAATAAGCCATAACATATACAAAAATAGCAAATTATCTCAATAATTACAAAATTAAACCAGCTGGGTACTCAAAAAAATCTGAAATCAGATTGGATTTGGCTAAAAAAAATCTGAAATAAGATTGGATTTGGCTAACCAGAGAACAAATGTGTTTTTTCTAATGCAATTGAGGATGGGTACTAATTGATCATTTCATCAGACACATTCAGAAGTGCAATATGACTATATTCTACCAAGTACATTGAAGGTCAGATGACTACTTGGATCTATGTACATCACAAATGCACATTGCAGATAGAATTTCAATAAAAATGTTGGTTAATTAATTTGTTTATTTTACTGAAACAACATGCATGTGAATGTGTTATAGATTTATTCTACAATATGGTAACATACTAATGAGTATTACCAGATTCCAGAAGAATATGACAGAAATTTTCTTACATTCTCTACATAATGAAGCAAGTAAAATCAGACCATTAGAGATGTATTATATACCTGAAGTGAATTTTGAGATGCTACCCCTTGATCCGACATCATACTAGCTTACAATCTTCAAAAAAATCATCAAAATAAAACAAATTTTAGGTGAGGCATTTTATCAAACACTTTGTGGGCATGATAAAAACATGTAAAATATATGAAGAAAATAAAATTTGCAGCAAGTAGAATGAATCTAACAACAAATTATAACCATCGAATATGTACAAAAAATACCCAAAAACAATCGAATTTGTAAAAAAAATACAATCGAATAATCAAAATATGTACAAGAAATACCCAAAAACAATCGAATTTTAAATCAAATTAAACCCTAGATTAATAATCAAGACAAGAAGAGAGAGAATATTACCAAATTTGTAAAAAAAAATTGAGTGAGGAAGATCTACCTGAGTTCGTAGCTAGCAGCGTAAGGAGAAGGGGGAAGACGGAAGGAGGGTGAAAATCTGAAAACACGGCTTCCCTTCTAATTTGGGGGAAAACGTTTTCTTGTACAAGGAAAATAGTTTTTCAGCCCAAATTTTCCTTTTTCTATCCGGCCCAAACCAAACAACGTAAAATGAGGAAAGTAATTTTCCTGGAAATGGTTTTCAGCCTAACCAAACAGGGCCTTAATGTAAAACAAAACTTCACACATGCGAAGCATATCAATACTGCTGATTTTACAATGCTGCATGCAAAACACCACCTTCATTATGATTTCTCTCTAATCAATAATGGATTCCATAATTCATAATCATATTAAAAGCTCAAAAACAAATTCAAACTCCAATTACAAATTATCTACGAAATTCAAATGCGTTCGAAGCAATTGATTCTGGAATTGATGTTGATTTAAAAATCAATTTGAATACAATGCAACAAACCCTAAATTGCAAGCAATGTGGAAATATATTGACCAAAATTGCGAAATCGACAACAGTACAATGCAGCAAAACATATATTCAGGTATGTAATCTTCTATTTTATAAAAATTTATAAAAAGAAATAAGGAAAACACTAATCGAGTTGAATTACATCTCAATACAAAGTCGTATGAGATCAAAGTACATCTCAATGAAGATTCATCTCTTGTTAAAGGTAACTTTAAGATTTAGTTGTTTTGAATTAAATACATGAATGTCTGAGGAACTTTTTAGCTATTATATCACTTTGATCTATATATATATATATATTAAAATCCATGGTAAGAATTGTAATCATGTCATGTGTCATGATTCTTGCAACGTGTCGTCATAACTTGATAAATGATGTGGGGTCATGTGACTCATGTCATATTAAAATCGATCATCAATGTTTCCTCACAAATAATTTATGTTCCTAAATTCTAATTTTTTAATTCAACATTTATATATATATATATATATATATATATATATATATATATGTATATATATATATATAAACCTCATTCTTTCGTTTATTCATCCATAATTCATATAGGTTATATGTACTACGCGTTAAAATATGTAACAAAAAAATATATAGCAATTTTAAAACCACAACATGTGTTTACTTTGAAGAAATTTATGATGGTAGATAAAGATTCCTATAACAAACTAATATGAATTATAAAAGTTAGGTTATTGTATATTTCATAATGAATTTTGAAAAATTTAATAATATTTTATTAAATTTAAAAACCACCAATATATGTCACTTTAATTTATTATAATTTTTTATGTAAAAAAAAAAATGACCCGAGGCCTCGCCCGGGCCTAAAACTAGTTAAAATTGAAAAGTTCAATTAATTAAAATCATGTATAGTTGCATAATTATTAAAATAAATATAGTTACCTTTGTTATTTAAAAGTTAGTAGAGACTATTTATTAGAAGTATTTAAGTATAATAATTACTTTTCAAATAAGTGCCAGTGAAATGTAACTTTAACAAACATTAGTTGTTGGCCCGCGCGCGTAGTGATTGATGCTCGGTGATTATTGTGTAACTAGTTGTTGTATGTGTAACTAGTTGTTGTATGTGTAGATTAGTTCTAATGTTGTTTTGGTAACGAAGTTAAGTATATATGTTAGTGTTGAACAAATATGAAATTTGATGGAATAGAGTGTTTAGTTAATGAATTAATGTAATATATGTGTGTATTGATTATTCGAAATTTAATGGGTTGTTAAACGCGTTGGTGCCAAAAATAGTTATTATGAATTAGAATCGAATTTAAGAACTTTGCTTTAAACGAATTAAAATAGTTTTTATGAATTTGCATTAGAATTTTGATAGTATCTGACATTGGCTTAGTCGTAATTTAATCAGATTTAACTTGATCTCACTAAAAATGGTATCCTGATAAAAATTGGAACGTAATATAAAATCTATCAGGAATATTAAAAGTTGTTGGCTTGCTGCATTAATTGGATAGTGTATAAAACACAAGTTTCTTTATCTAATGATCTAGCTAAATTTACAAAGTTAATCTTCCTTAACATTTGACTTATATTGTTAATCTAAAATATTTTCAAAAAGTACTATTTATATTAATCAACTCATTGATTACATATATAGTAACAATGGTCCTATAAAGAGTTCATCATCTCTTTCTCCTATCTTGAAGCTCTTCGCCATTTTGCTTTCTTCGTGTCACATTCCTAATTTGTCTTCATTTCCCTCCTCAATCTGTAGCTTTTAACTCTCTTTCACAATTAAACACTAAGAATAATAGTCTCTTGAGGCGCTTCTTACCTTTTCTTTTAAACCCCTCTCTCCTTGAATTTGTCTCCATGCTCCCTCCTTTTTTATTTTTTCAAAAAAAATGGCTTCAAAAATTATAGGTCAATACTCATTCCTTTCTTTATTGGCCCAAACGGTATTTCTCACTCTTTTTATTTCTTTCCTATTCCTTCTTGTCCCGCTTTCATCCTCTATTTCCCCGGCCCCAACCTATCTCTTTATTTATCTACTTTTTCTTTTGGCCCTTTTTCTCTCTCTTTCTTCCTTTCTTTATCCCACTCCAAGACTTTCTTTCTTTATATTCTTCGTCCTCTTTCTTAGTACTATCTCATTCTCTCTCTACTGAGCCTCAACCCCTCTTATTTCCAAGTATGCCCTCTATACTCCTGGCTTGCCTTCTCCCCGTTTCAACTTTCCCTTTCTCACTTTTTAAATCCCTCTCTCCTAGCCCCCTTTCTCTTTCCCGACTCTTTTCTTTTCCGGATCCCTCTCTCTCGACGCATATCTCTCTCCCAACCCCCCTTCTCTCTATCTTCCCCCTCCTTCTCCCTCCTCTCTCTTTCTCCCTCTCTCTCCCACTCCATCTCTATAAAACTATACATTACTGTAAGATGTGGGAAATATTTTCCTTCAGTTCTATCATTAACCAAGTTAGAATATATACAATGTACAAGTCTCATCTTAGGCGTAACTAGAGGAGTATATTTAGGAACTAAATATATCCTTTGACTAGAGAATATTATATACAAAATATTTACATATTTAACACACCCCCGCAGTCGAAACGAGAGGCTTACAGACGCAGACATTGTAAAGATGGGCATCGTGCCATGTCGGGCCGTGCCTAGGCGTGCAGGGGTGGGAGACGTGCCGAGCTGTGCCGTGCTAGATTATTTCCGGTGGGCTATGTCACACCCCAGCCCACCACAGCCCATCCCACAGCATGACCCACGTGCTTGGCGGGCCGTGTCAGGCCGCGGGCCAACCCATTTTTTTTAATATATATGTATATCAAAAAAAATTGGTATGTAATTTTTTTTTAACAACTTAAGTTTATATTAATAATATTATTAATTGCTTATGTTAATGTTAATATATATATTTTTAAACAACCTTAATTTAATTAAGATTATATTAATAAATTATGTTTAAGTTTATATAAATAATTTTATTAATTTAGCAAAAAATAATAATGCCGCGTGTCGTGGCAGGTCGTGCCACCGTGCCGCCTACCGTGCCAAAATTTCATTTTTGTGTCCACGACATGGCCCACGGCCCACAAGTGGGCTGCCGTGCCGGGCTGGGCCAGAATCGTGTCGCACCCGTACCGCCTACGTGCCGGTACGACCCATGGCCATATTTCATTCATGAAGCTAGGGGAAGCCCTTTTTATAGATGTCCGCGATCTGATGACAGGATGGAACATGAAGCACACAAACTTCACCACGTGCTACCTTTTCCTGAACAAAATAGATATCCATTTCAATATGTTTTGTACGCTGGTGTTGCTCTGGATTACCCGATAAATAAATAGCACTGACATTGTCACAATAAACAAGAGTGGCCTTTTTAATTGGACAATATAACTCTAGTAACATATAATAAAATGTAGGCCGTATCAGACCCCTTGCGGTAAATAAATAGTGAATTATCACTCCTGCTATTAGTGAAACCCAAAGATAAGACATAATCAGTAAAGCGCTTATACCAAGCACGGGGGGCTTGCTTGAGGCCATATAGTGACTTACGCAATAGGCACACATAATCCGCATGTTCACGGTCCCTGTATCCCACTGGTTGATGCATATAAAATGTCTCTTGAAGCTCACCATGAAGAAAGGCATTTTTTACATCCAAGTGGTGAATGGGCCATGCCTTCGAAAGAGAAAGATTAAGAATAACGCAGATAGTAGCCGGCTTCACAACTGGACTAAAAGTCTCACCACAATCAATGCCAACCTGCTGAGTCTTTCCATCACCTACAAGACAGGATTTATTCCTCTTAAACACATCATTAGATTTGAATTTATGAGTAAAAATGCACATAGAACGAATCACATTCACATCAGATGGACGGGGCACCAAATCTCACGTCTTATTTTTAATAAGAGCATTATATTCATCATCCGTGACCATTTTCCAATTTGGGTCACGAACCGAAAACATGTTACGAGGCAACGAAGACCTCACAACCTTAGTCAACATGGAATATTTTATATTGGGTTTAAAAATCCCATTTTGAATTCTAGTTACGACCCTGGGTTGCTGGCTTGGAATAGGAGGAGGAGATGGGGCGGAATGTGTTCGGGTTGTTGTGTTTGGGCTGCTCATGTTTGGGCTGGAAGTAGGA